ATTCTTTAGTCTAAAACTCTCATCTTACAAATGAAGAAACTGAGGCCCAAAGAGGTTAAGGGTCTTCTGCAAGTCCAAATAGGCAGTAAGTGGCAGGAACCTTCATGTCCCAGAGTTCGAATCCAGTGCCCCATTACACTACACCAGAGCCAAAGCCTATTCCATCTTCTCTAGGAAGCCTTCTCTGATTCCTGACAGAGAAAAGAAATGGTCTCTCTTTATGCAGGTTTTCCTAGTCACTGTCTGGGTCTCATTGTTGCTCCCATCACATGCTTTTTATTTGTGCACATTAGATACTCCTTCTGAAAGAGTGCACATTCCTTGAAGCCAGGGACTATGTTGATTTTTCATCTTTGGGTTTTTATTAACCAATGCAGGACCTGTCACAAGGTCAACTCTTAAATATCGGTTGAATTGAATTGCTGAAAATATGGCTTAGTGTATGGAAGCTAGGCGATGCAGCAGATAGAGTGCTACCTGGAGTCAGGAGAATCATCTTCCTGAGTTCAAATCTGTCCTCAGACACTTACTAGTTGTATGACCCTCAGCAAGTCACTTAATTTTATTTGCCTCACTTTTCTTATCTGCAAAATGAGCTGGAGAAGAAAATGTCAAACCATTCTAGTTTCTTTGCATCTTTGCCAAGAAAAACCTGAAAGGAGTCACAAAGAGCTGGACATGACTGAAAACCAATTAAACAACAGCAACAAAAAATAGCTTATTTTTGTAAAATGTCCTAACAGTGTAGACCCTAGTGGTAGGTGCTACTTTGCGATATATAGAAGGTAACATTTATGCTTTTGGCTTTGCCTGTTGTTTGTTTACATCTCATAGGTGCCATAAGAGATCTCTCTACCCTTGAAAGTCTTACTTTCCAAAGGCAAAAGAATAGCTCTGAGAAAGATGATATATTTTAGCAATTGATAAATCCCTCAAGAGGCCCAAAGAGGGTTGTATAGTCACCTTAGTAAAGCTTAGTAAACCTTACAAAGCTAAGTGGTTTGAAGATTTTAAGATATATTTGCATACACAAAGCACTTTGCCTTGGGAGAATGTCAGTTTAGTCTCAGTTCTTCCTAAAAGGACCTTCTGTGATTATGGAGGAATTTGTTTGTTTGTTTGTATTTTTGAGGAATTTGTTACTGGACTTCTAGCCAAACATGACTCTGGAATGATTACCAAAAACGAAGGAAAATAAGAAACACCCAAGGAAAAAATACCTCGGGTAAGCATCAACACTTACACAAACATAGTGAGATGAATGGATTTCACGTAGGACTGCAGCAGTGGCTACCTTACCAATTGCCAGATTTTTGATTACTCAGAAAGGAAACTCTGTGTTAGGTTTTGTGCAGGTGTTAGATATACTTCCTGTGGAAGTGGTGTTTGTTTCCATCCACTGTCCAAGAGAGGCAGCGTAGGGTAGTCGAATGGAGAAAGATACGAAGGCTGAATGATCACTGAGGTTCTTTCCCCCTTTGAGATGATGAGACCCAGTGTATGGCCACCAGATCTGCTGCTTTTAGTCTTCTTTGGACTTCTCCATCATGCCTTCGTTTCCCAGGAAACCCATCATTGGAAAATCTCATTCTGCCCAACGACTGAATCTGCTTGGTCCTCATATCTCCTCAGCACCCTATGCCCCTCTGATCCAGGGGTGAAGAACATGAGGCCTCGAGGCCACACGTGGCCTTCTAGGTTCTTGGGTATGGCCTTTTGGCTGAATCCAAGAACAAAACTTTTTATTAATGGGATTTGTTCTGTGAAGCTCAGATTCATTCAATCCTTTGACTGGATGGCAGGGCCTTTATTTCAGGAAGATCCTCAGCATAGTTTCTTCCCGTTTATCACCAATTACACTGATTTTGGACTTCTCCATCACATCTCTATGCTGGGCATCTTCTCCCCCTTTTCTTCCTCCCCCCATTTACGTCAGGAAGACATGAGTTCAAGTGGTGGCTTGAATGCTTACTCCTTCCATAATAACCAGCACAGGACTCAGCACATAGTCTTAATATATATTTGTTGATTTAACTTAAGTGAGAGAAGCAAAGGAATAAGGAATCTGGATTGTAGGGAGTTACTCCCCAGGCAGCAGATTAACCCAATGTTGATAAAAGCCCCAGATGGTGAGTGGTCAGCTTTTATAACACTTCCTCCATTCATCTTGGCAACCACTTCTGAGTTGTGAGCCACCTCCTTCTCAGGCATCCGGTACAGCAATAATTAATACCCTTTCAGTAATTCCTTCCCAAATATCGGGGGAAAGTGGAAGTGGAGTACACTGGATCTAATGCTAGTTAAGAGCTCTGAGAGGTTTGTTCTGTAAAATGGAGACTCAGTTCCACTTCACTTAAACTTCCCCTGCCATCAATCATTTCTTTTGGACATGCCTTCTCAATACAGGCAGTGATTAAGTGCCTGAATGGCAGAGGCTGTGTTGTTGGGAGCTTTTGGGGTATGGTAAAGAGATTCGTAATGAATATCCCTTTATTCTATCCCAGGAGTAAGAAAATTCTTTCGTCCTGATGCTGCAAGTAGGGCCTAGTAATGCTCACTTTGGAAGGAGGAGCAGGAGGATGTGGAGGAAGAGAGGTGGGAGGGAGAGATTAAGGAGGGAGAAAAGGAGAGAAGAGGGTGAAGAGCAAATGAAAGAAGAGGAGGACAAGAAGGAGAGAAAGAAGGGGAGAAATGGAAGGGGAGAGAGAGAAGGGAGAGAGCAAAGAAAATAAAGGAAAGGAAAGAGAAATAAAATGAGAGAATGGAGCAAATAGGAGAGGAAGAGAGGGAAAGAGATAGGAAAGGGAGACATAGCTGCAGAAGAAAAGGGGAGGAGGAGAAAAAGGAAAAATTTGAATAGAGGAAAGGAAGGGAAGAGAAAAATTAAGAAGGAAGAATGAGATATAGGAGAGAAGGGGGGAAGGAATAAAGGAATAAAAGGAGGGTGCACATAATGAAAAGAGAAAGTCATTAAGAACAGCCTCATGTGCTCCTGACTACTGTTCATATCAAGCTTTCTTTGCCTGTTTTATTTTTCTTTAACTAGAATTATAGATTTTACAGCTAGGAAGGATCTTGTAAATCCAACCTCTTCATTTTACCTATGAGGGAGCCCCGACAAGTGTAATGATTTGCCCAAGATTACAAAAAATAACAATGAGATTCATGGTATAAAATTTTGGAACAATAGAGCAACCAGCTAAAGACTATATATTCACTTGTTGTTATTGTTCAGTCATTTCAGTCATTTCAGTCATGTCTGACTCTTCATGACCCAATTGAGGGGCTTTCTTGGCAAAGATACTAAAGTGGTTTGTCATTTCCTTCTCTAGCTCATTTTACAGATGAGGAAACTGAGTCAAACAGGGTTAAGTGACTTGCCCAGGATCACACAGCTAGTAAGTGTCTACAGCTGGATTTGAACTCAGGAAGATGAGTCTTCTTGCCTTCAGACCAGATACTCTATCTACAAATAGGTAAAACAGACTTGTTCATTTTATTTATTTATTTATTTGTTTGTTTTGTTACTGTGCAGGCCAGGTGAGAGGCCGCCAATTTTTAATTCAAGTTTAGGGAGAGACAAAATGTTCTGTTTCAGCTTGAGATGTTCATGGAACATCCACGTGAAAACGTCAGGATGGAATGAGTGGAGAGGGAGTCCCTTAACTGGAATGGCCATCAGAATTTGCTCTAAAAGACTTTCGAATCTTGAGTTAATAAGACTTTTTTTTTAATGTTCAGAGAATCAGGAAGACCAACATTTCAAATGTCCACAATCCAAGAGATAGAGGGACTCACTAGGAGTAATTAAAACAAGAAAGCCTGCTTCAACTGGAATCATCTGAAGCCACCCTTAGCAAAATACTGCTTTTGAAAAATAAGAAGGCCACATATGTCATGTTCTAATTTTTAGAATCATAGTTATTTGAAATCTTGTCTTATCTTCCCTATTAGTCTTTGAAGATTTTTTCTTTTTTTAAAGGCAATTGGGGTTATGTGACTTGCCCAGGGTCACATAGCTAGTGTTAAGTGTTTACTCTGAGGCCGGGTTTGAACTCAAGTCCTCCTGACTTCAGGGCCGGTGCTCTATCCACTGTGCCACCCAGCTGCCCCAGCTCTGAAGTTTTTGAGAGCAGGGCTGTAGAGGTAGCACTACTCAAAGGAATGATGAGCTGGCCATGGAGAAGGGGTCCTGACCTTGACCCAACTCCTCTGTAACTTTGTGAGGCTGAGCAGGTCCCTTATCTTCTCTGAACTTCCACTTCACCCTCATATAAAGGAGGCTCAGTAATATCTACACTGTCTACTTCATGGGATTGTTATATGAGGAAAATACTTTGTAAACCTTAAAGTTTAAGGTGCAAAGTTCTAGGTCCTTAGGTGCAGCCTTTTGACTGAGTCCAACTTTTGCAGAACAAATCCTTTGATTAAGGAGATTTGTTCTGTAAAGTTTGGATTCAGTCAAAGGGCCACACTTGAGGACCTGGAGGACCAGACTTGACCTTGAGGCTGCAGGCTCCTCATCCCTGCCTTAAATACTATATAAATGTAAGCTATTATCTCATCTTACTCAATGTTTAATCTCCCATAATATATAATAGTGCCTGCATATAGTAGTTGGTAAATGCATATCCCTTGAATTAAACTAAATTTAAAGCTCATTCCCAGTACCTTTCAGATTGTACGCTCCCTACTGCCTATGATTAACAGGAATTTCCCCCAAAAAAGCCTCACAGCAGAGGACTGGTTGTGAGAACCCATGGGCCCCTAAAATATTGTGGAAAGGGCAGATGAGGCAAACCAGAGACCAGAAAGGTGAGGGTGTTGGGGGAAAGGGTGAGGAGGGAATGCGAAGCCAAGCTGCCAGAGCCCACAAAGAGCATTCCCCGTGGGAGGGAAGGTGGAGGGAGGCTCTCTGAACAAAACACGCCCAAACCGTGCTTGTGAAACCAGCCTCCCAGGTCTAATGACATTTACAAAGCACTTGAGCTTCTCTCTGGTGGGTTCGTGCTGTCGCCAGAGTCCCCACATGGAATGTGGAGTGAGGCCCTGCCTAATGGAGGCTCTCAGTGTGTGTCTCTGCCTGGACTGGAGCCGGGCGGCTTGGGCACCGTCTCCCTGGCCAGCTTTGCAGCTTGCTTCAAATAATCAATCAAATGCATCTGAGAGCACAGGTGAGCTGAGGGAGGAGGGGGGAGAATACTTCAGCCCAAAGCCATTATTTCACATTTACATTTCTCCTCCTCCCCCCCCCCTTCTCCACTCATAAAGATGGCAAGTCCCCAGAGGAGGGGTTGTGATTGGAGAAAATATTTACAGTATTGGTTAGAGAAACTTTAGGACTAGAGGAGGGAAATGCAGGAGTACCACTTTGGTAAAGTAGCTGAAGACAGTGGTTTAAAGAACAGAGACAATTACTTTTCCAGGGCAATTGGCAAAGGCCATTGACAGAGTGTGGGGTGCATGACCAAGGAAGAAGGCCCCAAACCAATAACCTTCACCATGAAGGACACACATGCTCTCTCTGTCTCTGTCCCTGTCTCTCTCCCTCCTCCCCCCACCTCTCTCTCTGTCTCCTCTTTCTCTATGACAATCTCTGTCTCTATGTCTGTGTCTGTCTCTGTGTGTGTCTGTCTCTCTCTGTCTCTGTTCCTCTCTCTTTCTTTTTCTCTGTATCTCTGTCTCTCTCTTTCACACAGACACACACACACACACACAAACATAATGAGTGCCTGAGGCCACATGGTGAAAAGGAAAGAGGGACAGCTTTAGAACTATGGGACCTAAGTTCAAATCCCAGTTCTGTTTGATGCTACTATTTATATCTGTGTGATTTTAAGGCAAAGTCACATAATTTCTGGGCCTTGAGGTCTTCATGTGTAAAATGAAGGTGCTGGAGTACATATACTACAGTCTCTTCAAATGCTAAATCTATGTACGGTCCAACAAATTGTATGCTACAGAGAAGAGACACAGAAGGACAAAATATTAAGGAGAGCTAAATTCAAGTCTCGCCTCTGGCCTATATTAGCTGTGTGACCATGGGCAAGTCACTTAACCTCTTTGTGTAAGCACTTACTTTTAGTATGACTCTCTAAAATTTTGTGTTGCAAATAAGTGTGAGTTCTGCCTTAGTACTGTCAATTTACACACAGGGTGAAATGTAAACCAATGGATGCAATACAAGTTAGTACTGGACCACATGATCTTACTATGAACAAGATACACCTTTCCCCCGTGTTTTCCTCCACTCCCCTGCCTCTTGCCAAATTAACACATGCTTCAAAGGCTGATTTTTGAAATCAAGCAAGGAAAAGCAAGGTAGTATCTCACCTTTCCTTGATAAACACTGAAAGCATTTACTGGGAATTGCCTGCATATAGCCTAATGAGCTGGACCTGAGGGATACAGAGGTCCAGCCCATCTTCTCAAAGGAAGCTAATGTTTCCTTGAGGAGATGGAATTAGTGTAATAACAATGAGTCAACAATAACAGAGGTTACCTTGTGGTCCCTTCAGGGTCTAATGTTTGATGATATTCTACGCAAGTGGCAAAATATATCAACGTACAGTCAGTAAATCTTATAAAATTTCAGGAGAAATCTCTTATAAAGCATCCAGAGTTAGAACTGCCTTCAGAGGTTATCCAGACCAAATTACACCTCTTTGAGAGTTCCTTCTCCCATCAACCAACTTCTACATGAAAACCTCCAGGAAATGATAGAATTATCACCCACATAAGGGCTCTATCCTATCTTTGAAGAGCACAAATTTTAACTACATTTTCCATAACATTCAGGTAAAAATCTGTTCCCTGATGGCTGGGGTACTAGGATAGCAGGTGGCTGTTCAGAGTCTAGAACTGAAGGAAAGTAAGAATTCTCAGCATCCATCTCTGCAAAAGAGCATGGGTGGGATAGGATGAGAATTAGTGAACATGATAGATTGTGGGGGGAAAAATGCTAATCTGAAGGTATTCTCAATCTGTATAAAGTTAATGATAGAATGAACTCATGAAGTAGCCCATCCACCCAACACAAGATAGAGATTTTGAAATCTCAATCACTGCCATAATGTTTTGTGTTTGAATTTTGCAAGGCAATTACTCGTTCAATGAGAACAAAGACGCTCCAAAATGAGAGAGAAATTAAGTATATTTTAAATACTTCTCCCATAAGCAGAAGTAAATGAGAAACTTTTGGCTAGAAAAAGAAGGGTAGTAACCTAAACCCTACCACTTTAAAAGCACCCAAACAGTCCAATTTTAAAGTAGCAATACATCAAACGTTTCTTGGGTTTATAGGCTCAAAGAGGGTTTAATGTTCTCCTTCCCCCACCCTCTTTCCTTTCACCTTTAAGGGGAAAGAAAGTTATTTCCACTTGATACATTTCTGCAAACTTGTGGAACTCTATTTAAAATATTAGTGTATGTGTGTGTGTGTATATATATATATATATATATATATATACATATATATATATACATATATACACATACATACATATACACACACACATACATATATATATGTATATATATATGTATATATATATGTATATATATATATATATATATATATATATATATATATATATATATATACACACCCAGTCTTCCTGCTCTTATGTGTTGGATACATGGGTCAGTGTACAAAAGACACACACAGTTATTTCAGCTGTCCAACGCTGCTCTCCATGCTCTGCTAAGCATAGTGACAATTAAGCCCACTATGTCTGCGTATTCAAGAATGCAATGGAAAAGAAAAATTTTTTTTTTAAAGTCAGACTATCTGTAAGGTAATGTTCTCCTGAACTGGAAAAGAAAATTGAATGCTTGTAGAAGAGAAAATGAAAAATTAAAATTTGAAAGAAAAAAAGCAGAAACAAAAATATTCGTTCATTGTTGTGGTGCTTTGAGGCTTTAAAACCAGTAAAAAAATTATAGCTGATTTTCAAGGTGTTGCATTCTGATGCTCTGTCCATATAACATACAAATGATGTGAACTGCTGGGAGTTTAATTTAGAAGCAGGACAGAGGCCTGGGTATATGTGTTTGTGTTAGCATGTTTTTGGGGTGGGAGAGTGACAGTGCATATCATTCACTGATGCATAAAGACTGTTTTTGGACTTTGACTGGAGGGACTCTATTTCAGAGTTTAACAAGTTTTCCAAGAAGACCTTCAGCTGGACTGCATATGATTCCCTGCTATTTTTAATATAAATGTAATGTTTTTAAATCTATCGACGGTGTCCTAAACCAGATTTGGTCCTAAGCAGCTGTGCTGAAATTGTAAAATCTCACCCTTGTGTCTGGTTCCACATCTGGTAACTCACAGCTAACAGTTACAACTTTCGTATAGTAATTAAATGTTTTCTTTAAAAGGGGGGGGGGAGGAACCCAGCAATCATATATGGCAGAATACATTATTAAGAGGGTATTTTGATTCACAGCAACAACAGCCAAGAAGAATTCAGTGAGAATTTTATAGGTAGTTGGGCACTAACAGCTACTTTTTTTTTCCTAAAGGTGTTGATCAAAATAAGCACATGTTAAAGAAAAGTAAAGGCAGCTTATAACTGGGGTGGATATTGAGTAACATTAAGCTACCATAATTACTAGTCAGGCGAATGTCGTCTCTTTGATGTCAACTGTAGACTTTCCTTTTTGTCTCTGAAAGGAAGAAACTTCAAAAGCTTTAATTTCAGGACAATAAAGTACTCAGATTAATATAGGTACCAACTTTAACTGCACTTACGCTCGCTCAGGAAGAAGTTTTCTAGCACACGATGTGCTAGGATGGGGGAAAAATTCAAATGTTACCAGAGGTCCCTTTTTTATATGTAAACACAAGTAACATCCACCATTCTTTCTGGAAATTTGTGCTAACAAAGAGTGCTTTCTGGGAAGACCCTAAATAGATCCTACAGAATTATTCTCAGTTTCATTGATGGAAAATAGTGAACAGAGACAAACATATAAATATGTTGAAGGGTATGACATTTCTTAATATAAACCTTCAGAACTCTTGACAACCTGAAATCATAATAGCAACAGCTAATATTTATATAGCACATTAAGCTTTGCAAAGTGCTTTACATATATTTCCTCATTTTATCTTTACAAGTAACCAGGCAGTGCGGGTGGTATTAATATCCCCATTTTACTGATGAGGAAGGGAAGGTTGAGAGTGATTAAGTGATTTGCCTGGGGCACACAGCTAGTATCTGAGGTAGGATGTGAACTCTGGTCTTCCTGACTCCAAGTCTAGAACTCTTACCAAACTATGCTACCTGGCTAATACTCTCTATGTCTGATAGTACTTCCAAGGAAAGATGATCCAAATCTACATTGCGATTTGAAAGTCTGCAATGAGCCTTTCGCTGTTTTAGGATTTCTATTTAACACCAATATGCCAGATATGCAGAATTGTAATAGGTCTGTAAATGCTGACTACAGTATCCAAAGTGTTCCTATAACAATGCTTTTGGGGTATCAGAGTGCAGGGTGGTCAGGAAAGGGAAGGCAAAGAGGCTGCTTAGTGGCACTGAGATGCCTGTGCTGTACATAAAGTATATAAATGTGGGCTGTATATAAAGGGCCCAATCTCATATATCACGGCTAGTCTTTTCAAACAACTCCCATGGATGTCAATACTTAGCTGTGTGTAAAAGAGCCGGTGGTTGTGTGTGCTCCTTAATACCCACTGGTGCCTCATTAGAACTCCTGAAAAAAACTCTAGAAAGAGCTCTGTTCCCTTCCCATGTTTTCTGTAGTTCTCTTTAGTAGTAAGTCAAAGAAAGTCTTTGTTTTTACCCATTCCCTTTGCACTGAGTCCATAGTGAAGCTCTCAATCCTAAATACCTGACACAGCACAGAACTACCAGAGTGTGACATCAGAGATACAAGATGTAAAGTAATAATAATAATTGTGACAATAAGAGTAATAGCTAACATTTATATAGTGCTTACTATGTGCCAGACATTGCACTAGCAGCTAAGACTGGGTACTGGTTCCTACTCTTGAACTCAAAGTTTATGATTGTGTGTTGGCATCTTGAAGCATTTTTAAAAGAAAGTCTTAGGGCCAAACTACCTCCAGGGAAATCCTACTAAGATTTTTCAGTAATTCATGGAGGAAACCCTGTGTTCTCAAAAGCAAATGTCAGGTCCTACC